ACGAACATTGTGAAAGATAAATGTTTTTGCAAGTTTTACGAACATTGCGAAAAAAGAAACCTTTTTACAACGTTTTATAAATGTTGCGAAAAATAAAGCTTTTCGCAACACTAAATAAACGTTGCAAAAAGGAAATATTATCAACATTCACTTAAAAATATTGTCAAATCTCAATTGTTAACACTAATGGCAACATTCACTTATTAAAATGTTGCAATAGACCCTTTTAGCAACATTTAATTGGTGAATGTTGTCTTTTGCATGTTGCAAAAAGGTATTTTTGTTGTAGTGATTGTTAGATACAAGTAAGCTATTTTCCTTTACATTTTTATTTTTGGCACACGTCTCTTTCTTAATTCGGTTTTTAAGCCTATAATTTTAATTTGGTACAATCTATGAGCCAGGAGTTGGTGAAAAAACATTACGAGCCATGAGTCTTTGGATTCGAAATTAATTAAACAAAGAAAAAATATAATATAATATATTTTAGACCAGTAATCACCCGACAAGCCTGTCTTTTAATTGGCACATATCTCTATCTACAAAGAAGTATGTTTGAGATGTGTTTATAAACGATTTAAACTATATAAATACAAATGAATAGTGGATTAGTAGCACTTGGGAATTTCTCTAAATGTATAAATAAAAATAATTTGAGTGTTTCTTAGTAGTTTATAAACATGACTCAAATATAGACTATGAAAAGTAAAAAAATGTTTCTGAGATTAAGAAATTGATTTTGAAATTGTTTGAATATATATATTTTTTCAAATGTCTTGGTTAGCTAGGAGAGTTTTTAGAGGGAGTTGACTTAAGATAACTTTTTCAAAAAACTATTCTATAAAAATTATAAAAATCAGAAACAAAAATAGAAGCCTCACTACATAGGGGACAAAACGTGGGTTTCCTAGTAATTAACATGTTTGGTTAGTGACTAAATTAAAATTTCAGTGATTGTACATTATGAATTCTATGGAATTAATGGATAAAAAATAAGTGACTCCAAACGCGCTCAAGTCCAAATTTACAATTCAGTAACATATATATTTATGTCTTATTTTAAATATATTTCGACACATATTTTAACTATTAAATTATAATTAATTTCAGTTTATCATAATTTTTGTCAATATCGACTAAAAATTTAATTTTTAACAAAATCAAACATAGACTTAATCACTGCATGGTAGCGGCCAGCACCGTTCGCCACCCTGCATATTGGGGAGGCATAGTCTTAGGCTATTCAAAGCCAAGCAGCACGAGATTGGTTAGTGCAGCCACCGCGATCAGCACCACAAATATTGCCTTCCCAATTCCAGCGGAAGCCAATGCAGAAGATAATATTTGTTTTCATAAAAGGGAGATCAAGTTTTTTAATTTCTT